CCAACCTGGTTTGACTATTGTGGTTGAGGGGTTCCATTTTTCCATTAACAAAAAAGTGATGCATGATTCACTAACTTTACCTTGTTCCTACAAAAAAGGGTAGAAGAATCATGGCATTTCAAGTATTATGTCCTAAAAGGCTGTTCATCAATTCAAAACGATCTAGATTTACGTCAATTCTTTCTTCTTCTTCCTTCTTGTTACATTTTATTACCAATTTCTATTTTGCTTATCTTCGAAGGGGTAATTCTTGTTTGTCCTTCTTTTCCCACTTCCTTTTCTTACCTCTCTTATAAGACAAGTTCTTATCTTCTCAACCTACAATCTTGTTGGGATTATATTACGCCAAAAACTAAAAGATTATATTACATAAAGCACTAACTAAAGGAACTCCATTATGTGTTAAAAACTGAAAAAGTGACAATTTACTAGTATGAAAAAAAAAAAAAAACAGTACTGAGATTCCACAAGAATTGAGTGTTTTCCTTAACTATATTGTATGGTATCTCATTAAAAAATAAACTTATTCACCAAGTTAAAAGAGTAAATTGCATGCCAACTATGTCAAAACTATATTTTTTTAATACACTAGTCAAAAGTAATTAAGTGTTGGAATGCATGCATTTACAATAAGTGATTTTTCTTGCTTTTATGGCATTACCTAAAAGATCAAACCTAAAACTCTTAATTTCAAAACATAAATTTCTAGTAATATTAAAGAACATAATGAAAATTTTGAAAAAAATTTATGTTCACATCCCACAATTTCTACAATTATATATATATATATATATTTATTTATTTTTATTTATTTTTTCTTCATATTTTTAAAAATCACATAAGAGATTTTTTTTTTAATTATAACCAAAGAAAAATTGTCACCAGCAATTAATTTTATTCTAATAAAAGGATGGGATATCAAATAGTATACACCTAAGGTCAATAAACAAATGATAAATAGTTGTTCTCTTACTATGTAATTTAAAATAAGATAAAATAAAATAATTAAAGAGAAAATGTTTCTTTAATATTTATATTATTTATTATGTCAACCGTCATTCCTCGTATTTTTACTCCAATGGTCATTTCATTAGCTATCAGATTGATGTTTTATAATTCAAATGGTACAAAAAAAAAGAAAAAATACAGTTTGAGCAATTAAATTATTAAAATATTTTTAATAAAATTTATTTAGTAAATATATTTAAATACTATTTAGTATGGATTAGACTGAAAAAAAATTTTGGATAAAAATAAATAAGTTATTTACCATAAATTTACAATACATTTTTGATTAAATGGATAAAGATTCTTTAATTAAATCATAAAAATAAATTAATTTTAGAGGCGAGTTTTCTTTCTTTTTTTTTTTTTTACTTACATTAAAATTTTATCATGATAATCACTTCATCCAAAAATTAGTTTAAATCTCCATCCCATAAAATATAACAAAAGGAAAAAGAATCCCGCACAGGCTCATTTTCTTTTAAATTAAAAAATTAATATTTTTTTAAATCTTAATTAAAAATACACAAATTGAAAAATTAAAATACCTTAATATTTTTTTACATCTGTATCTCATAACTCAACGTTTATGAATCAATTTATAAAATGCATTTCTCTACGCAAGAACCAAGGCTCAAATCCCACATTCTCAAATCGCAAATCTGTTAAGAAAATGCCTTAACATTCCTTTTTTTTTTTCTTTTTTTTTTTTTTTTCTGGTTGTATAATGGAAGATAATTATCTCTCATCTTTTATCTTATTTTACTTACATGTTATGTGATTCGAATTCATAACTATTGAACTAATTAAGTTTTTGGCGGCATGTTGGATACTTAAGTTTGAAGTGTTTGATTGGATTTAACGTGGACTTTCCTATGATTATTAGGCTTGTGGAACCGTGAATTTTTTGGATTGGACCGTTGGCCCTTTAGAGTACCTCCGTACCTTTGTTTTGTTTACATTCCTGTTTTGGGCCAAGCCGCCTAAAACGATGTCTCTGGTACAAAAAAAACTTTGGAAGCTTTGTTTCCGAGCCCACAATTTTTGTTATGGGTTGGGCTTAGTTGCCTTGAAAATTGGGATGCTCGGGTCAGAAAGGCTTTCTGAATTGGGCTTCTGGTCAATAAGTGTTTTTGAACTGGGCATATCGTTTATGGGTTGGGGTTAACAGACCCATATATGTTTCTCCAGTCCTTGTTATAGGGACTAAACTTGTTCAAGATTGACCTAGTTAGCCCCATTGGAAAGAGTGGATGAAATGGATTATTATTCAAATTTAGAAAATAAAATACTTTCGTATCTGTTTATTACATTTAATTTATTGGAAGCTAGACTCCTAGTAAAAAGCTAATTTCCAACTTTAATTGAATCCCAGAATGAGAAATATTAAAATTTTAATTTGTTGCAGCCTTGGATTGTTATTAAAATGCTTTGTAATTTGTGTGTGTGTTTTGGTGATGGATGATAAATATCTCTATATGTTCCACGGTTTTACAGTAATTCGATTGTGAGGATTCTGGACTAGCATTTTCAGGAGGATAAGTTTCTTGCATGCCTGAAAATGCACAATCTAGTCTCGTATAATTGGGTGTGTTGTGTTTTTTCATCTTTTTTAACATATGTTGCTTGGGGCAGGCTTGCAAGCAAGCAAGCATGAGTAGAGATTTTTGTTGTGTTTTCATGGACAGCTAGGTGTTTGTTGAGAGATAACGCATTTTGAAACATTGGAGTAGCTTGAGAGTTTCCCATCCTGTATCCACTTTTTCCAGCCCAGAAAATGGCGGCAGTCCTTATCATTTCAGTAACCAGAATATTCATGTGCCGCCATATATTTTTATTTATTTATTTGTTTATAGAACTGAGTAAGACTCCCATGTAATGTTGATTTGTATTTTTCTATGATACATGATTAATGTTGTCCGTGGCTTCTTCTTAATTTGCCATGTATATAGTGATCAAAAGCTAGCACTAGCCATTAGGTAAGGAAAGGGAAATATATGAAAGTGAAAGATCAACACAGAAGAAGAAAATCAAAGCTGTCGATGTCATTGCTCGCTCTTGTTGATTATTGATAACTTGAGGTCTAATCAAA